AACTGGTTAATGTATGTTTTTAGAGGTGTAGTTCAATCTTAAGTTCTACATTACAGTATAATTATTTCTTACATACCAAAGCAACAAGTTTGCATCCGTTCAGTATGTTTCGTACCATTTGAACTTACATGTACCATTAGACACTCACCAACTACACCCAATGCTGCACCTTGTAATGCTGTACTGATGACCACACTGAAACCTCTCCCTTTTGAAAATAAGACCAAATAATTAAATTGGCAAAGTGTAAATGTTCCTGCTAAATTAATTAAAAGATCAATTGATTGATCAATCAATCAATCAATCAATCAGTCACTCAATCAATCAATCAATCAATCAATAATTGTTAATTAATTAAGATGACTCTGCTGAGGAAAAATTAACAAAATCTGATCACTTGAGACAGATCATAACCAGGCTACATGTACCATTTACTTTTTGAGTAATATGTGTCTTTTTTAGCCTTCTACTGTGTGAGCCAAGTTTTTGCAGGAGTTTCGTGGATTAGCATTTTTTGATTTTGTTGGTACTAATTTTTCTGACCGTAAAGACTGGTTTTTCTTGCTGGCTATTAATGTTTGTGATTTTCAGGATGTCGCAATTAATTTGAATTAATTACAACATTTTCATTTTTTTTTCTTATTCAATTACATGCAATCAACAAGTGAAACAATATGTGCACAGATGTGAAACATGGTATTTTTTCACAACTCAGGTTGTGACTTTGGTGTGAAGGTCACTGGTGGTAACATCTGATTTGACTGCATTGCAAGGGAAAATATGACATGGTCATTGGTGCTAGAGGGAAATGACAAAGTTCTGTCTGCAAAAGGGTGTGACATAACAAGTCTGTTCACTCTTACTGTATGCATTTATCTCCCAGGGAAATTTTACCTTCAGATCTACATGTAAGACAAAGAGTGTACAATAATCATAAAATCATTAAAAAGAGAAGGTGACCTGGTAAGAATGATTTTTCGAGCCGATTTGTGGTTTTGATCAACCAGTGCCTTTTCCTGCACAGAATGCTGCTGTTCCTGAATAGCTTTTGGCATCATGCCTTATGTAATGCAATCAATCAACCATAACAATGAAAAAGCAGTCACCAGGTAAAATGTTATTAATATAAAAATTACTACAAGAAGCTATGATATTAAACATTTCTGTAACTTACATAAGGTACATGCAAGCAAGAATCCGGTAGCAGCACCGCTAATAGCACTTGCTTGCATGCCAGTCATGGCCTCTTGTCTCGTTGTTATGGTGTTGTTTCCCCGAAGCTCATCCAATGTTCTTCTCCATTCATGAGCCTTTGATGAGATGAGTAAATTGTCCCTAACAACTGATGATTTGATAAATAAAAAAAATAAATAAATAAAAATTAAAAAAAATTCATTTGGCAGCACTTTTTTAATGGAGTTTCTTTTTATGATATCAAAATCCAGTCTACATTAATTTTAAGACTTCCTCCCTCCACACAGCCTCACACTTCAGTAAATTCAGTCTTCTAGTGTTTAAGTAACTAGCAGTAATCAAAGATCATGAGTGCGTTCGACACCGTCACTTTCATATATATATACCTTAAATGACTTAACTAGCTGACTTTCAACCTCTCTCTATTGCAAAAATCAACATTTTTCATGAAGAACCGAGGTTGTACAGAGACAGATATACATGTAGTGTCAAAGTCCATGCCAGTGAAGATGTCCCCTGTATAGACTACGATGGCCAATTTGTTGTTCAAAACATTGCGTGATGGCGCCAGTTTCATAGACTCGCAAAGTAGTAGGCCTTCAAAATTTCATGTTTTGACGTAAACTCAGCATGAATTCAAAACATAAACAACAATTTTAAAGCTCCCTTTCGATTTGCGTTCATGAAAATCTTCTCGTTTGCCCAAAGGGAAATTCGATTTGGTTTGCACAATTTCATAATTCAGGCTCTGCGTATATGCCAAGTTTTGTTTGCTATTAATTTTTTAATTTACTTTCAATGACCTGAGACTAAAGGGGACCAGAACAACATAATCATTTATGTTCATGTAAAATAAATAAACTCTTATTCACTAAGCCGTTTAATTAGCTGACCATTCTTTCTATGTAGGTGTTTGTTTACATACCAACATTCTCTAGTTAAATGTACGGCTTCTGTTTCCCTTCATTTAACCTGCTTTAACAAGCTAGACAACTCGGTATGATGGTGCTATAACCGTGAATCATGGCCATCTGCTGAGCTACACAACTTGGTAAGTTAAAGTAATATATTTTGCGCACAGAAATCAAAGCCAGAAAAGTGAAAGGATACATTTTCTCCACCGATTTATTATGCACAAAGCAGGATTGGTTTTTGGTCAAAGACAAGATGGTGGACAACAGGCAGCTGAATGGCGTCTTTGTGTTTGTCCCAAAAGTCATATACATTTCGTGAAGACATCGATAAATCTTAGCTATAAGGTCATTTAACGCCATACATGTAACTCTAACTTCAAACTTCAAATACACAACTTGCTGGTAACAGCAGATGAACACATGGAGACGTGACGAACACATGGAGACGCGACGAGAATGGACATGATGTCATTT